AAAATAAAAGGCAACAAGAAGGTGAAGCCTGGAAGAACTTCTGAAAGACAGTTAAGTGATAGTTTGTTTGTTTGCTTTTTTGGTTGTAGCCATGTTGGTCTTTGGGTGGATGTGATATCTCTTATTAGACTAACTGAGTAGTTGGGGAAAAGTTCTTAGCAAGCTTTCGGAGGCAGTCACCCTTCTTCAGGCACAGGGAGTCTCTGATGGTCTGAGATGCCAAAGGAAAAGAGAAGCTAAAAGTGTGGCAGGATGTCAGTGAACATGTAAATAGGTAGAAATTCAAAGACAAAAGATAAAGCAGGTAAGGGAGGGGGAAGATAGCAGGGGGAAAACAAGGCCAAAAGGAGACATTGCAGTGATAGAATACAAGGTAGAAAAGAGGCTGTCTGTGAAAAAGGAAATAGTAGATCAGGCAAACAGGAGTGAGAGAAGCTCAAAGTGTGACAGGATGTCAGTGAAAATAAAAATAGGGAGAAATTAGAAAAACAGAAGGTAAAGCAGGGGAAAACAAAGGGAAACAGTACAATGGTAATAATGCAAGGTAAAAAAGAGGCTAACAATGGAAAAGGAAATAGTTGGAAATCAAGAAGACAAAGGGCAGAAAAGTAGGGGAGGGGAGAAAAGATGGGGGAAAAGAAAAATATAAGAGGTCAGGTCAGGCAGGTACCTGGTGAATTGGAGGTCCCACAGCTGTTATAAATCCAATTTCTATATTGAGTCCATGATTTTTTTGTACCTAGTAGATTTATGAAATGAAATTTGTAGGCTTGTCTACAAAAGGTGTTTTCAAAGTTCCCTCAGAGGATTAGAACTGAGAGATCGGAGAGGGAGTGATTGACTTGTGAAAAATGTGCCCCCACCAGTATTTGGGTATCCTTGTCTTTGACAGGTTTTTGGTGTGCATTCATTCTCGTGCAGTTGTTGTTTGGTTTCTCCTACATATATTTCATGAGATGTATAACATTTCTGGAGGTGCAGGTGTAAGATCTAGGAATGGTGATGGTGCTGTTGTGGGTCCCAGGTGGCGGCGGCAGCGGCAGCCTCCTGTCATCTGGCGCAGATCTGGGGGCCTGCACCCCCAGGAGGGATCCAGCACAGCTCTGCAGCCCTCCCGGAATTCGGCCCCCTGCATCTGTGCACTGGATGACAGGAAGCTGCTGCTGCCAGCAAGTGTCACGAGTTTTGCTTTCTGCAGTTTGAGGTGCAGTTTCCAAGAAACCTCCTTGAAACTTGGCAGGTTCCATGCCCTCAGAAGGGGCTACCTGCAATTTTCATCCGAATCAGGCAAAAAATTACAAAGTTTTAGGCATTTTCATGATTCCCCATTATAGCTTATGGATGAAACGTCGAAACAGCAAAACAGTTTCAACGAAATGAAATGGGACAGTGCTTCGAAACGAAACAAAATGATGAAATGAAACACTGTACCTTCAAAATGGCAAAACATACATTGAAACAAAATGATGGTGTTTGGCACAGCCCTAGAAGTCAGTTGAGTCTTGGATAAAACTTGGTCTTTGGGTGACAAGTGGTTTTAAGATGGATTCAGTGAAACCTGATATTTCTTCTGTTAGGGTTCCGTGGTTAGAAATGAAAGGTCTGCCATGGTTTATTTGTTGGACTTCCTTTTGTTCATTTTGCATTGCTGACAAGCCCAGGGTGGCCTCTGAGTGTTATCTACTAGCCTGACTGCAGCAGAGGCAAGGGCCCTGAACAGTGGGTCCTTGGCGAAAGCCAGCAGCAAAAGTAAAATTGGTCAGCTCTACTAGCTTGACCAAACATACCCTGCTGTGATCTGTCCATGGCAGCTTACGGGCAGAAGACTAGCTTGGCTTAGCAGGAAACTCCTTGCTGCATATGAAATCTGTGAAAGCTTGGACAGTGTCTCTTGCACAAAAATTCAAGACTGGATTGTGGTAATGAGATTGCCACAAGAAAATCAAACTCTGCTAATGGCTTGCAACCCATTCGGTGTTGAGACAGTGGAGTGTTTATGGTACCCAATACCAGACCGATGCCATAAAATAATAAAAGTGATGGTTAAAATTGTTGGCAGAGACATGACACACATCAAATGTGAGCCAAAGAAAAGGCTGAGTTAGTGAAGGCAAGGGAACTGCATCTATGTATCAATTGAGCAAAGTGTAACTAAAGAAAACAAAAGACTCAATTTATAGGTTTTGCTTGAAGTGTATAAGGTGCATTGAATACATGAAAGATGTCCTGTACATGACATGCTCACATTTCTCAAAACAGGCATCCAATGCCTAAGGTGTTACAAATGTCTCAATCATTCAATGTATGTTTGGAGTTTTTGTAAATAGACTGTCACTGGTACAAACTATTGCACATTTGCCCCATTGATAAACAAATACACAAAGACAGGTCGAGTAACCAATGCCTGTAAGCATCCTGTTTGACCATTCAAGGCCCATCATCTGTAATTGACCTATAATTGTAGGGGCTGCAGAGAAACACAAGTCTTAACACCTAGACAAATCCAAAAACAGGAGCCAGGAAATTTAACAGTTATAATATGATGGTCACCCTTTTCCCCTCCCTCTTCTGTTCTGACTTTAATCGGTCAACTATCAAGGAAAAATGCTTTGAAAATTATACAATTAAACATTATAAAGCAAGACAGAACTGCCAGCAAGGTGTAAGCAGTCCAGGGAAGATCAAGAAGCCATCCTGCCACCCAGGTGATAAGCAAAGGATCCACACTGTGATGCTGTACAAGAACTGCTTCCTGCCTGCATTGGATAAAGATTTCATTGCAGCTCAGATAATACAAGGACTAATAGCTCATTTTATATTGGGAACTGTCATTTAGTTTTGTAGCTTGTTGGTAGTTATTAAAGCAAGCCTTTCTGCTATGCATCAACTGCATGTTGTCTCAATTCTTAGAGCACTGGGTTTAAAACCCGTTTTTAAGTGCAACACTCCTCAGGGAGGTAAAACACAAAAAGGAAGTTTACAAGCAGGTAAACTAGAATGAATGACTAGAGATGAGTATAAGAATATTGTTTGGACATACAGGGAAGAAATCAGAAAGGCCAACATGCAACTGGAGTTGCAGTTAGCAAGGAATGTCAAGGGTAACAAGAAGTGTTTCCACAAATGTCAGCCACAAGAGGAGGATCAGGGGAAGTGTGGGTCCCTTACTGAATGGGGGAGGCAACCTTATGACAGAAGCTGCAGAAAAGGCTGAATTGCTCAATGTCTCCTTCACCTCAGTCTTCACAGGCAAGGTCAGCTCCCAGACTACTGCACCAGACAGCAGTTTGGGGAGGAGGGGAGCAGCCAGCAGTGGCAAAAGAACAGGTTAGGGACTCTCTAAAAAGTTGGACTTCTACAAGTCCGTGGGACCTGGTGCAGTGCATGCAGGGGTACTGAGGGAGTTGGCCACTGTGCTTGCAGAGCCACTGGCCATTATCTTTGAGAACTCATGGCAATCAAGGGAGGTCCCAGATGATCAGAGAAGGGCAGATATAGAGTGTAAGCAGAGTAGGTATTCTAATTACCTGCTCCGCTTGCTTACTGTCCGGATACCCCAGGTGTTAGGTCAAAGGTCACAGCTGATCTATTAACTAAGATTTCATATAGCACACCCTCCCTATCTCGCCTGCCATGACTTGTTGGAAAATAACAAAAGGAGGGAGGCTTACTGGTTCTGAATTGCTGACAACCTTTGAGCTGATTAGGGTCTTTCCTTCTTGCACCCTGCTCTGCTCTTTAGCTCTGCCGACTCTCTGATCTGTGGTCCTTAATATTTCCTTTGGCAGGCTGCAGGACCATGGGTTTACAGTTTTTTCTCCACTGGGACCATGGGTTCTACACTCACCATTAGTTGCTCCGTTTATTTTGCAGGTTCATGAATGGAGGTAACTGTCTGTCCACTGAGTCTCACCAATCACTCCTTTGCCATCTTGGGTTTTGGTAAGTAGAGAAGGTCCTCTGAGCCTCAAAAAAAGGAGAGTGTTACTCATTCTTCTCCTGTACTCCTCCCAGGATTTAGTCTTTCTTTTTACTTGCTTCTATCTGTGCTGTCCACTCTCTCTCTCTCTCACCTTTCCACAGTTGCTTCTGGATGTGTCTTTAAATCACTCTTCATTCCACACCCAGCCAACTGGAACTGGCAGGAAGTTACAAATTCCAGCACCTTTGATCTCCCTGCATCAGGTTTTCTTCCTTTTCATTTGCTGCACGGTAAGAATTTGTGCTTGGAGTCACTTCTCCAGCACTCCCTGTAATCTCCATGGCTCTTCTTCCAGGTCCCTGGGATGTCTTTGGCATGAGCAGCATGATCCTTGCTGCCACATAGAGCTCATCTTTAAGAAAGGGAAGAATGCAGATCAGGAGAACTACAGACCAATCAGCCTCATCTCAGTTCCTGGAAAAATCATGGAGCAGGTCCTCAAGCAATCCATTCCTAAGCACTTGAAGAAGAAGGTGATTAGGACAGTCTGCATGGATTCACTGAGGGCAAGTCATACCTGACCAACCTATTTGCCTTCTACGATGAGATGACTGACTCTGGATGTGGGGAGAACAGTGGATGTGGTATACCTTGACTTTAGCAAGGCTTTTGATATACTTTTACATAACATTCTAGCAAACAAGCGAAAGAAGTATGGGTTGGATGAATGGACTGTAAAGTGGATAGAAAACTGGCTGGACCATGGGCTCAAAGGCTTGATGTCTAGTTGGCAGCCAGCGTCAAGTGGAGTGCCCCAGAGGTTGGTCCTGGGGCCAGTCTTGTTCAATATCTTCATCAATGACCTGGAAGATGAGATGGAGTACACCCTCAGCAAGATTCCAGATGGCCTGAATCTGGAGGCAACAGTAGATATGCTGGAGGATAGGGCTAGGATTCAGAGACAACTCAACAAATTGGATGATTGGACCAAAAGAAATCTCAAGAGGTTTAATAGGGGCAAGTGCAAAGTCCTGCATTTAGGACGGAACAATTCCATGCATCAGTACAGGCTGGGGACCAACTGGCTGAGCAGAAGCTCTTCAGAAAAAGACCTGCGGGTTACAGCAGGGGTGGGCAAAATATGGCCTGCAGACCGAATCTGGCCTGCCAGGCCATTCTATCCAGCCCCTAAAAAAGTTAGAAAATTGTTATATGCCTGTGGCTGCCTGTCTAAGGCACCAGTGGTGGCAGGACCTGGGGCAACAGGACCCAGCAGCCTCAGCAGCAAGCTCCACCTAACCCTGCCCCACCTCCAGCCCCAACTGGAATCCTCTGCCTAGCAGAGGCTTGTGGCCTGGCAACCCTGGGGCTATTCCCCCACCCTCCCTCCATTTGAAAGTGCAAACTGAGCTAAGAATGGGAAAGAGGGGAGGCCCACTGGTGATTGCCCTGCATTCTGTGGCCTGGGGGCCAGAATGCAGAATGCAGCAGGAGCTGGCTTAGCCCAGCCAGTACTGCACAGAGCCAGCCAGGAATCAGGGGCTGGGCTGGGCTGGCTCCTGAAGCATTCTGTAGTCCCAGCAGTGTAGCTGGGAACCACATGGTGCTGGAGTGGTAGGCAGGCAGGCAGGGGGGTGGGGAGAAGCAGCCATTTCCTGCCCCCCTCCTTCCCCACCTGCCACCGCCACTTCTTCACCTCATATCCACCGCCACCACTCCTGCCCACCTGCTGCTCTGGAACCACACGGTTCCCAGTTGCATGGCCAGGACCACAGAACAAGCAGGAGCCAGACCAGCCTAGCTGAGCTCCCACAATTCCCAGCTGGCTTCATGCAGTGCCAGCTGGGCTGGGTTGGTTCCTGCTGCATTCTGTGGTCCTGGCCATAGACTTGGGAACTGCACGGTGCCAAAGTGGCTGGCAGGCAGGCGGGAAGGTATGGAAGTGGCAGTGGTGGCAGGCAGGAGCGGGGGGGAAGTGGCGGCAAGTGGGCAGGCAGGAGCGTGGGGCCCACGCTGGTGCCCCAGGGCCAGGGACCACAGGAGCATGAAGCCCAGACTGGCAGTAGCATGGAGCCCGGGTTGGCAGGGGCTCCTGTCATGGGCTGTGAGTGCCCCAAGGCCTCACTGCTGGCTGCTGGTGACTTGGGGGGGAGGCGAGAGGGGGCGGAGCATGTTTGCAGGGGGTGTCCCACATGCATACCCCACCCTACACATGTACCCATACACACTCACACACCCTAGCCATTCTCCCCCTCCACACACGCCACAACTTCTCCTGCCACCCTCTCCCCACACACACACTATACAAGAGTAAGACTTTATTTTAAGCTATTATACAATCGCCTCTCTGTACACTACACTAACACATTTAAATCATGACAAAAAAAATTTGAAATCAAATTGATGAATGTTGTAATAGATGTTTGATTTTTAGACTATAATTTGTTTTTTTTCTGGTTCCAAGATGGCAAACCCTCTTTCTGAAAAGAGTACTTCTGGGGGCAAAAGGAGGGACTTCGGGTGGCAAAGGTCAGGGGTTAGGGGCATGACTTCCAGTTCCAAGATGGTGACCAGGGGGTTTGGCACCTGTCAAGAGGCAGGGCTACCCATGCAGCCCTCAACACCTTGCCAAAACTCGTTAATCGGCCCTCCAGCCAAAATAATTGCCTGCCCCCTTGGTTACAATGTACAATAAGCAGAATATGAGCCAATAGTGTGCCACTGTTGTGAAGAAGGCTGATGGCATACTGGGGTGCATTAATAGGAGTGTTGCCAGCAGATTGAGGGAAGTGATTATTCCTTTCAATTTGGAACTGGTGAGGCCACATCTGGAGTATTGTGTCCAGTTTTGGGGTCCCACTATAAGAAGGATGTGAAGAAACTGGAGAGAGTCCAGCGGAAGGCAGCAAAATGGTGAGGGGGTTGGGGGACATGACTTATGAGGAAAGAATGAGGAAACTAGGTTTATGGGTTTATGTATGATTCTGTAATTCTTCTGTATTCTCACAACTGTGGTAGCCAACTTTTCCTTGGGCACAGCTCAGTCTTTACATGAGGAAACCCAAGGAAAAGCTTCTTTGCTAGATTAATTTACTTTCCTGTTAATTTTTTTTGAGAAGGGAAGGGCTTGCTCTTCAGCTTTAGTGAAGAAGCAGAGCCTTGAATCCCGAGATTCTCCAAAATCAGATCTTGGAGATGCAGTGAAACAGAGGACCATCTATTTTAGGCCATGTACCTCTGTCCCATTCAATTCTTTACTAACATACTTGTGGTGGAGTTGTACTCACAGGGACCCCTCCTGCCAACATTGCCCTCTGGAACCTAAGCCTAACCTGGTAGGAGAATTTCCTCTGTTAGGAGTCACAGCAGCAGGCAGACTGATAAGCTTCATCTGACCCTGATTGCCTAGGTGGGATGAGCTGTCCTGTTTATAAATGCCCCCAGATGGCCTTAGTTAAACTTTGTGGATGTGGCTGCTGGCATATAAACAGCAGTCTTTGCAGTGGGCTCTCAACGAGACAGATCTCTTCTATGTCTTGTAGTGAGAGAAGTTATAATTTAGAAATGCTCCCTAATTTAGAAGATTAATGAAACTAGGACAGGGACACTGATACACAAGACTATGTGGCACTTTAATCAGAGTGCCTCTCAGGGCGCCCTCCACCCCCACCCCCACCCCCAGTGCACACGTGAAAGTGCCCAGAGAGTCCAGTTATGATATTTTTAGGATGTAATACAGCAGAACCTACAGTACCTACAGTACTTCTGGATGCATCTGCTGCAGGCTGTGAGATGGCTCGGTGAGCTTTAGTTCAACACCCCCACTGCCATTTTGAAGCACAGGGATGCTGATACACAAGATGAAGAAGCTGCCTGGAGTACGGTAATTACCATGCTCCAGCAGACTCGATTAATTGAGTTTGTTCTGAAGCACTGTAATTACAGTGTGTCAGAGAAGCTTCCCACTTGTGTACAGGCACCCCTTATGAACCCCTCCCGCATATTAGTTCCATCCAGCTCATTTCCTTTGCAATAATAGAGTTTGTAAGGGGGTTGTAAGGGGGACTCTCATAGGTCATCTAGTCCAACCCTCTGCCTGAGGCAGGATCATCCCTATCCTAACCATCCTATACAATCCATAATTAACTCTTTGTAAAACTATTATCAACCCTGACACAATATAATACATAACACCTTAACTTGTCACAGGTAAAGCAGGGGAACCATGGCAGCCAATATCCTGTTTTTATAGAAGGCGTTAATATATACACACAGGAGATCTCAGGAGAAAAGTCCTGAGGCTTGTTAAAGAAGTCAGCAGAGCTAAGTGTCTACAAAGCAGCAAGCCTACAGGGGAAGCAATGAAAAACCCCTGGGCCTGGTTCTTGGAAGTAGGGAGATCAGGTGACTGCAAGAGGGAGGAGCCAGGACTATCTAAGCCTAACTCAAAGCTAGGAAGTAATTCTGGGCTAGGCATGTCTATACATGAAATTAATGCTATTTAGACTTACTGCACAGTAAGATAGCCCTGGGAATTCATCTACACATGCACCCTGTTGGAAGCAGATTTGCTTCTTATAGGATTAAGTAGATCCAGGCCTGCTCCAACCTCTTGCAGCAGCTAGGGTGAGCTGTAGCCACCAGGCACAGCTGCCTGGGTGCCAGAGGTCTCCAGGGGGTACAGACTCAGCTTGGCAGGGGTCTTTAGGGCACACAGGCTCAGCCTGGCAGGCATCTCCAAGGGAGACAGGTTTACCCTGGTAGGGGAGAAAAAATGACCAACACACATACAGATTTGGAAATGTCTTTCTGGGCAGCACAGCAGCAGAAAGGGATCTTGGAGTCATAGTTGACTCAAAGATGAACATGAATTGACAGTGTGACAAAGTGATCAGGAGAGCTAGCCACACTCTGTCATGCATTAGCAGGTGCATCACGAACAGGTCTAAGGAGGTGATACTTCTCCTCTATGCGGCATTGGTAAGGCCGCAGCTGTACTGTATCTAGTTTTGGATGTCACACTTCAAGAGGGATGTGGATAACCTTGAGAGGGTCCAGAGGAGGCTCAGTCTGCCACGTGTCTTCAAGGGGGATGGGCTTAACCTGGCAGAGGTCACTGGTGGTGGGCAGGCTCAGTCTGGCATGGATCTGTGGGGGGGAAGTTACCCTGGTAGGCATCCCCAAGGGGGATGGGCTCAACTTGGCAGGGGTCTCTGAGGGGAGGCAGGTTCTGCTTGGCAGCGGTCTCCAGGAGGGATGGGCTCAGGATGGCAGGGGTTTCCGTGGGGGCTGAGCTCAGCATGGCAGGAGTTCCCAAGGGGGATGGGTGGGTTCAGCCTGACAGGGGTTTCCAGGGGGACAAGCTCAGCCTGTAGGGAATGCTGTCCTGAGAGCCTGTGGTGAGTGTGCTATGAACATTCCCTGCCCTCCTTCACAGCAGTGGTGGACAGGGCATCCTGTCTGCAAGGCACCTGTGGACCACCTCCTCCCCCATCCCCCACAGTAGGCTGCCTGTTCATGGACCCCAGGCCCACAAGTTACCCCTAAGACCACATGTACTCTGGACAGTTTCAAATCAAGAATCTTTATTTCTCTCCAACACAGCACACTCCCTCCTGCCCCCACTCCCTAACAATGCCCACCCCCCAACCCAATACTCACTACCAATGAGACCCTCTTCCCCATGCAACTATTTACAAGACTGTGGTTGGTGTAGTGTCAGGGGGAAATGGTGGGTTGGTGGTGCCTATGGCATGGAGCCTGGGGAGAGGAATCCAGCACCCCAGCCTCTGGCACTACTACCACAGTTGTAGACACTATGGTGAGGGCGGCAGCCCAGGGTCTCAACCACAGCTGAGAGTAGATGCTGTTCATGGGGCTGGGCTCAGCAGGGGCCATCATCCACTCAGGGATCACATGGCTAACGGGTGAATGTGGGGCAGCAGCCCAAATGGGCAGTTTAGCTGCTGAGGGACCTGGCTCAGGGCCCCAGCCCTGCCCAGCTCCCTCCCTCCCTTCCTCATTATGGGGTCCTCAATCCCCTCACCCTACTGACTTCCCTGCAGGACAGATAAAAAGTGACTACAGGTCTCTGGGTGCAGAGGTGATGGGGTCTGGGGAGTAGGTCATGTTCACTTAGATCCTTCTGATCAAGGGAAAAGGCCCAGGCAGGAACAGGTGCATCCTGTAGAGCAATACCTGTCTGTGCAGACGCTGTGACCAGCAGGGTTTTGGCTTCTTCAACCATGGGATGTTGTTCCAAGGATAGCTGGGAAGCAATGGGATCCACCTGATGAAGAGGGGGAAGAGCATCTTTGCAGACAGACTCACTAACCTGGTGAGGAGGGCTATAAACTAGGTTCACTGGGGGATAGAGACCAAAGCTCTCAGGTAAGTGGGGAAGCAGGAGACCTGGAGGAAAAGCAAGCAGGAGGAGGCAACAAGGGAGGTGTTCTCATACTTCCTGAGAAATCAGGGCAATCAACTTGTTACCTTAAGTGCTTGTATGTGAATACACAGAACCTGGAAAACAAACAGGAAGAATTGGAAGTCCTTGCACAGTCGTGGAACTATGACATGATTGGAATAACAGAGACTTGGTGGGAGCTCATGTGACTGGAACACTGTCATGGATGGGTAAAAACTGTTCAGCTGTTCAGAAAGGTACAAGCTGTTGAGGAGGAGGAGTTGCACTTTATGTAAAAGAGCTGTATGATTGCTCAGAGCTCCAGTATGAAACTGGAGAGAGGCCTATTGAAAGCCTCTGGGTTAAGGTTAGAGGGAAGAGCAACAAGGGTGATGTTGCGGAGGGCGTCTTCTATAGACCACCAGACCAGAAGGAATGGTGGATGAGGCTTTCTTCATACAGCTAGCAGAAGTTTCCCGATCACAGTCCCTAGTTCTCATGGGGGACTTCAATCACCCTGACATCTGCTGGGAGGGCAATACAGCAGTGTGCAGGTAATCCAGGAAGCTTTTTGGAGAGTGTTGGGGACAATTTCCTTGTGCAAGTGCTGGAGTGGCCAACTAGGGGCCATGCTCTTCTTGACCTACTGCTCACAAACAGGGATGAATTGGTGGGGAATGTAGTATAGTGGATGGCAACTTGGACAGTGGTGACCATGAGATGATTGAGTTAAGGATCCTGAGGAAAGGAAGGATGGAGAGCAGCACAGTAAAGACCATGGAGTTCAGAAAAGCAGACTTTGACTCCCTCAGGAAACTTATGGGCAGGATTCACTGGTAAACCAGTCTGAGGTAAGGAGGAGTCTAGGAGAACTGGTAGTAAGAAGACTTACTGAGAGGCACAAACCATCCCAGTGTGTAGGAAGACTAGCAAGTATGGCAGAAGACCAACTTGGCTAAACAGGGAACTCTTCAGCAGGCTAAGTCAGAAAAAGGAGGCTTATAAGAAGTGGAAACTTGGACAAATAACTAGGGAGGAGTATAAGAGCATTGCTTGGGCATGCAGGGATGAAGTCAGGAAGGCCAAAGCACAATTGGAGTTGCAGTTAGCAAAGGATGTGAAGGGTAACAAGAAATTACAAATATGTCAGTAGCAAGTAGAGGATCAGGGAAAGTGTGGGTCCCCTACTGAATCGGGGAGGCAAATTTGTGACAGAGGATGCAGAAAAAGCTGAAGTGCTTAATGCCTTTTTTGCCTCAGTCTTCACAGGCGAGGTCAGCTC